TACAGATATGGAAATAGGTGGCTCAGTGTCAAGTTGCTCAGCAGCTCCTGAATTCTGATCCCAGCTATAGCAGCAACTGCCTAAGAGCTTTGGACAATTAATTTAAAACTAATTTATGCTCTCCTTAAATGAACAATGTCATTTAATAATACAGGTCTGACTGCAAGAATAAGTGTTAGGAGAATTTCTTTCTGAAGCAGAAAAACTGTTTTCTCATCCTGTGTTAAAAATCTCCTCGCAAAGTAATGCAAGTATTAGAAGTAATGCAAGTATTAGAAGTAATGCAAATATTAGAAGTGCCCTAACAGCTTTTAGCTTGGGTTTTAGAGTTGTATTTATAAATTCCCCCACATTAAGGTATGGTAAACTGAAATGTTTTGTGCTAAAGAATCAAACTGTATAGCACAGTGGTTTTGGATTTGAGGGTAGCACCCATTGCAGTAATGGTGCAAAAGCATATTATTGAACTATAACATCATAAGCCAGCGTAGCCTCAAAGTGTATCCAGAGCAATTCACAGCACGTTATTGCTGTAGGAGATGGGTCAGGCTTGATATATTCCCTGGACTGTGTAAAAACATTGGCTGTGATGGGGAGTTAAAAGCTCTATTAGAGCTCCTGTAGAACTTGACATTATTGCTCATCACCTCCAGGGAGGTGTCAGTTGAGAGGAGAATAAGGCTGGGTATGGAATAAGACTGGATCAGAGACTGCTGGCATGGGCATGGCGACTGAAACGGCATTTGCTGCTGACTTTGTGATAGCAAAAGGGCAGGAGAATGAAGCTTTTAGGACCTTCACAAAATTTGAAAGGCAGGGAGGAAAATTACTTGGGCATCACTTGAATGATAATAGAGAGAAGCAGAAGGGAATTAAACTACAGGGAAGTGAAGAGGAAACTGATTTCAAGAAGGAAAGGAATTTTTGGCTGTGGCACAAGTAGCCAACAGGACACAGAGGATGGGGAGCTCAGCTAATGATTCCTGATTCCTCCTTTCCAGGGCATTTCTGCTGGCATTTTTGGGGGTTACATATAAGCCAAATTCCATTGTGACAAATTTATATCCCTCGACCTGCTATAGCCTTAATGAATAATGTACCTGTCTTTAGGGGTATGCTATTGGGGCTGTCAGCAGTGTTGTTTTTTCACTCACCTGGCTGAACTTCAGCTCATGTGGAGGAAAGATTTTAAGTCTTTCCTGTTCCCTACGTGTTTTATTTGCCATATGGCAAATCAAGCACAGATGGTGGCTGACTAATGGAGATATATACATCCATTATTAGTATTTCTTTAAGGTTGTTTCACGGTTTAATCATTTGCTCTTCAGCATTGTCTCTCTCTAGCTGTCCTTAAGGTGTGTAAGTTACTGACATTCCTCTGCCTGTCATGGGCTTATGGACCAAAGTTTCCTGTCTTCAGTGCCATGCAGTCTCTAATTATCCTTCAGGCCACTGTTGAGAGCACCTGAAATGGGAACAATCTCTGTACGTATTAAAACATACACCCTTGCATATGCACAAAGCATCAGATTCTGGCCGGTTCTGCAGTGGTTCATGCCAGCATACAGGGCTGCCTGGCAGAAGCAGCTGCTGCAACGAGCTATGACTTCTCAGACTAGTAACGTCAGAGGCAGGGTCATGGCCAGGACACCAGGTAATGGTGCTGGTTCACCATGTTAACCTCAAGAACTCCAACAGACTGAGAGTAGTCTGCAAACAGGAGTGGAAGGTAAAACCAGCACTGCCTGCCCTTAACTGGGGGATGACTGCACCTCATAGGCAAATAGCCAAACCCAGACACTGTGTCTCACTTAAGTAATTTGGTGTAGTCATAAAGTGTATCATTAAATTGTAAACATCTGCTTATTAGCATGGTAGAAGGAATAAGTAACAGTTACTTGAGAACTTCATAAAATCCATTTCACAGAAAGAGGGAAAAGGCCCAGTAAAGTTTCTTCGTTCTTGACAGAGCTTCCAGGTCTCTTACACATGAAGGCATCTTATGTTCCATTCCTAATAAGAGTCTGGCAGATCAACCTCCTTACTAGATGCAACCCGAACCTCTAAGTCTATCAGCCGTACACCATCAAGGGAAAATAGTGTTATAGATCTCATGACCTTTTTGATAGCTATCTAATAAGGCAGGTTACCAAATACCACAGGAAGGAAGGCTAACATGAGCGAGATCCACCAAGCTGCCTCAGTGGATGTCACTTTTATGCAGGGAGAGCTTGTTTTTTAGCAAAAGACACTGTAGGGAATGGTGTTCTCATAAAATGAGCAGCTAAGTGTTGAGTAATGCACCTATAAACAAAAAGCAATTAGTAAATATCTGATCGGGGTAATTAACAGTAAAGCAGGACTGCATTGTTTGACTAAATTCGACAGAGAAACACTCAGCTCAGGCTTTTCAAAACCATCTGAATGTATTTTAATTTGTCAAAATGATTCCATTTGAAGTTAGAACTCCTGGCATCTTTTGAAGAGGCTAAAAACATGTGGGTATGAGTGGTCCAAGTAATATACCCTGCATGGATTCCCAAACTGCTTTCAGCAATGTTCTTCAAAAAAGGGTTCTTAATAGAAATGAAGGATGAAAGGGATGCTGCCAGCATGGATATATAATTGGGTAACAAAGAAGAAACAGCAGATTGGTATAAATGGGCCTTCTCATGGAGAAGGTGTGTAGTGAGGCTCTGCAGGGGTCTGTGCTGGAGAGATGAGATGACAAAGTTTGGTGATGTTATAAAGTTATATTGATAAGGAAGAGGAAGGACTGTGTAGAACTGGAGAATGTTCTTAGAGCAGCAAGTGACTGGTCAGTAAACTGGCAGATGAAACTCAGTGCAGATAAATGTGAAATGGTACCCACAGGGAGATGCAGTCCTAGTTTCACATGTGAGATGGTGGGCTTTGAGCTGGCCGTTGCCACTCCAGAGCAAGCCCTGGGGGTTATGACAGCTAGTTCCATCACCACATCAGCTCAGTACTTGGCTGTGCTCAGAAAAGCAAATCAAATGAAAGGAATGGACTACAAACCAGAAAACATCAGTTTGCCATCGATTTAGCTTCAGCGACTCTTAACAAGAGTATAGCAGAACAAATGAGATTAGAGAAAGGCAGCACATATGATAAATGTTTTGGAAGAGTTTCCATGTAAGGAAGGACTGAGTAAACTAGTGCTCTTCAGCTTGGAAATTGGGCATATTGGAGGGGGAGCTCCTTGCCAAAGGATGCTGTAGATGCATAAAGTTTCCTTGAACTCGAGCAGATTGAACAAATATTTGCAAGACAGATCCCCTGGGGATTACCACTTTGAAAAATAACAACAGGGTCAAAAAAATCACCTGAAACGAAAATAGTGGAAAACAGGAGCACAGTTTCGGGTTTTTACAAAGCTCATAAAGGCTTTCTCATTACAGAGAAACTGGAAAAAATTGCTGTAAGGCAAACACAACGTTTTCTCCTGCTTTGTTTTTGCTTTGCTTTGTTTTGCTTTGCTTTGTTTTACAGCATTTTAAAACTTATAAATAAAACTAATTTTGTTTTGAGATTCAGTTTTCATTTTGAAAATGGGCAGCACTGATTTATTTTCTCCTTCAAAAGCTAGACGTTGCCCAGGAGTTGAAAGGCGTGAGGAAATTATTAAAAGCAAAGCAAAGAGCCCCTTAACCCTGCAGGACCTTCTGAAAGTGCAGTTTGGTAGCAGGGTGTCTTTGTGTTTGAGTGATGGAAATGGATGTTAGGAATTCCCCAAGGTGCCCATGGGTATTCTAGTTGCTGACCAGGATCTGCTTGAATTGAAGGCATGTTCCCATTCTGTGTCACCCGTTCTTGGGCAGACTTTGGCACACCTTCTTCTGAACATTTCTTTCACTAAGGCTACACCTGCATCAGGGGTTACCTGTGTGTCTGTGGGGTGCGTGGATGATGGAGAATGGCACTGCCATATCCCAGCGGTGGATGCGGCACAGGAGCCCCATCTCTGCCGCTAAGGGGCAACCTTAGGGACATCATTTTGCTCTTGTATTGTTCTCTCACTGCACTCCCATCAGGGTCCAGGACTTGACTGCAATTTGTACATCTTAGGGTATAAGCAATCAGTTATAGTTATAGTCAAAATATTCAACATGTGGATAATGACAGGCGACTTGAACTCACTTAGCCAGGCTTTCTCACGAGGAGTTGGAAAACCTCTTCCTTATCCATTAGTTTTTTCAGTTGCAGCAACTAATCTTGTGACATTGTGCGTAGGATTCATCCCAACAGGAAGCAGGTCTTTAGAAGCACTAATAAAAGAAGGAGCAAAGGTAATGCCTTTTGCAGACAAGTATTTTATAGCAATCATGTCATTTTTCCTTTTAAAAATCGATTTGGAATCATGGAAGCCCAGAAATGTGTCTGTGAATAATTGACTAGACCTACCCTATTTTTGTGGATTGTGTGTGGCCCCCACAGCCTGAATTTAAGAGGCAAGAAAAGGAATTATGATGCCTGGCCAACTGTCCACTGCACCAGTCCTCCATTGCATGACTTGGGTACCTTGATTTCCCCATCTGTATCACTGTGCTGATTAAACTCCCTTTCTTCCACCTCTTGCCTCATCAGTTTAGCTTGTGATCTGTTTAGGATAATGACTGTCTCAGTATGTCATTGTGCACAAGGCTTCACTCCTGACTGGGAACCTGGGGCATAACAGGGAATATAGCATTATGTAAATAGTGAAGTCAGGAAAAAGACTTTATTGCAGTCATGATTCTACCCTAGAGGCTTTTTCTTTGGCTGAGTTTTGATGAAAGCATTATCATCTGTGTTACACGGACCTCCAGAGCTTTACAGTAGCTGAATCTAGAGGGGAAATAAATTATAGAATAATAACAAATCCTGACACTGCAGCACTAGTAGAGGCAAACCCATTGACAGTGTCAGTAGGAGTTTTTCAGTGTGCCTGTGCTTCAGAGCAAAGTTTAAATTGCCTGATGGTAGTGGTCTCCTTTCAGAGCTCTGTAAATTAGCAGCAAGTTACCTGTGAATCACACCTGGCATTCACATCACCGCATCCTGGCCCAAAAGATCCCAGCGCTCGCTGTCAAGGGAAATAGCTGGCTTCTGAAGTTACAGCAATGCAGTAATTTAGAAGGGAAGCTGAGCTCACAAAAGCTCGAGCTAATTTTCAGGCCTGGCTGTCATTCATCAAGGGTGCGTTCCCACACAAAGCCCAGCCAACAAAGGGATCCTTGCACTGCCGCACGCCACATTCCACTGCCTCCCCCTTCTCACCGTGGAAAAGATGCCTCTTTGTGCTGGAGATAAGTGAAGAAGGAGGATTTACAGCAGTAAGCTATACCAGGGACATCTCAACTGTAATTAAATCCTTTTATTCACCTTTTCTCCGATGTGGGCCCTATTAGTAGCCCAACGCCACATACTGTTCAATAGTATAAAAATATATTTGAATAGTGGTCCGGTTTAAATGGAACCCTACCAAATATAAGGAGCTTGGCTTCATTTCTTTCCCATGCAGAAAAAGAACATTGTGGCTGAGGTTAACCAGTCAGGATTGCATCTGGAAAGGCTTTTCAGCTCTGCCTGGCTTAAAACCCCACAGCTTCAGTGTGCGAATGTTCTCGCCTGCACGCTGAGCGCCTTGGTGTCAAAGGGTTTCCCTACCAAGGGGTCGACTTCCCAACCCCAAGGGCCTGGGGGGTTCTGCCATGCAGCGTGTCCGAGCGAGGAGGCTGATGGTTCTGTGCGTGCCCAGCCGCTGTCCCAGCTTGCTGCCAAGTTGCTGTCACTAAATCCCTCAATAGGGATTTCACCATCTCTTTAAAACACCTACCTTAGCTTGCCTGCAGTGTATTAGAGTCCATTAGGGATTGAGGTGAACTCCTTGGCTTCGGTTGTGAAAATGGACTTAAAAATCTTTGGAGTGCTCTCTGAATCTGTGACTCCAGCAATAATTAAAGATCAGTTTTGCCGTGGAGCTGGTGGTTTACTCTGGGAGAGGCTGTGGCTTCTGGGGAACAGCAGGTTCTCTTTCTACCTTTTCTAAATTGCCTTTAATTACAAAACTCACTAAGTAGCCAGCAACAGTGAAATCCCCAGGAGTTCCAAATAGTTGCCATGTGTCTTTTTCTCACACTCGCAGAGATGTAGAATGTCTGCCAAAGACATGCAGCAATAAAGAAGCTTAAATATATTAAATGAAATAAAATGCCATCAAAGCTTACAGTGCCCTCTCCTCTCCAGTCCTACTTTTTTATCTGTTTTTCTCCCTCTCCTGACTCACTCTACCTTCACACTCTTCTGTTGGCAATTGTCTGTTCTTTATTTTCTCTCTTGTTTCCCTTTCCTTCTTTTGGGAGGAGAAATAGGCAATCTGAGGGAGCCCAGCCTGCTGCCTGCACAGTGTTCCTTGATGTTGCTGTGTCCTTTCATACATACACACACATGTATCCCTTACCGCTTCTTTCTCATACCTCCCTTCATTCTTCTCCATCACACCTCCATCTTCCATGCTTCGCTTCTGCATATCTTATATTGCCTTCATTGCTTTCCCCTCCAGCTGTTTCAAACTGCTAAACTCAATGTTGGCTACATACAGGGTACATAAGAGTATGGTTACTACATTGGCACATGCATTTATTGGAGTCATCTAGTTGAAAACCGTGTGTGTTTATGTGTGTGCTCAGCTGTAACTGATTGGCTTTGATTTCTAGGCCTTGCTATGTTGTGCGTACTCCCATCCATGCTTAGTTATATGCAATTACTGTGATGACATGGGAAGTTGTGGTAATTGTGCAGTATACAGATGACTCATTAGTTCTGCAATTATGCATTTTCCTGAAGAGTTACTGGGGATGGTGGCCTGATAATAGTTTGGCAGTCTGAAATCTGACCTTTGCTTGTTTATCATTTTACTATGAATAGCCTGAAAAGGGAGGCCAATCAGTTCTTTTCAGCACTGAAAATGAAGCATTTTTGCTCAGCTTGAGTGACCGTCAGTGATGGTTACAGCTGCCCTGCAGAGCAGCTTCACATGAGCACACAGATAAGGGTGCCCAATGCTTCCCCAGTTCAGAAAGGTATGTGTGCCTCCCTCAGAGCACTTGAGCTTGTCCCATTGAAGTCAATGGAGCTATTTCTGTTATTTAAGATCAGGAGTGACTTAAGTACCTTACTGAATGGTGGCACGTAATGGGGCTGACAGATTTTCTTCCTGAAACAGTAGGCTTTCCTACGCTACAGCTGTTGCTGGATATGGAATCACACTTTTTCCAACATATCCTTAGAGGAAGAGATTAGGAGGTGCATGTGTTTACCTCCCCAGCTGTTATTTTACACCAGTTGTTTGAGCCAAACAGGGGAATAAAGGCTCAATGCAAAAGGTTTCTGAGCCTGTCATCCAGTTTTCCCATATCATCTGCCTGAGTGTGCCTCCTAGCTTCTGTGTGAGAGCAGGAAGGAAGAGATCAGTCAGGTTACGCTGGCTGTGAAGTGAAGAACAGACCTGTGCAAAGATGCTTCTTGATCAAAAGGATGCAGTGATAAAATAGGAGACGACGTTGAAGTCTGGAGAGGTGATGCAGGCACCAGTAGCCAGATGGGAACACAGCTAAATACCCCACTTAATGCAAGTGTTTGTTGCTCAACTGATAAGAAGGGAAAAGGGCAAACAACTGCATGCTGCAATCTTCAGGCACAATTAAGTTATATTATTAAGGAGCTCCAGCCAGCCTGGTCCAACGTGTGATTTCAGACTGCAGAGTTAGGACAGACAGAGCAGCTTTAGTGAGAAAGTGGAAAATCAAGTTTGCAAATTGTACTGGATTGAAGGAAAACCAAACAAACCTGAGTCTTTCTTCAAAACTTTTCTTTGCCCTCATCTGAAATGGAAAGGTGAGGACATGATAAAGGCTCATTTCAGGCAAGTTTCCATTTGATATGGAAGTTCAGGATTAAGGGAAGATTACTGCTTTCTCTGAGCTGGGCTTGTTTGCATAGTACAGTGCTCAACATTTATAGGTCTGACAGTTTCTGGGCAGGGGTTTTGTCTTCTTGCTTTGAGCGTATGCAGTGATTTGAGGCTGGCTTGGGTTGGAGATTTCATGCTCTCTCTTGTGATAAAGGGTTGATATATTACTGGCATAAGCCTATGTTTTAAAAAGAATGAAGAAAATCATGCTTTTATTCCTGTTTTTAAAGAGGCACACCTAGGGAACACCAACAGCTGTCTACACCCTGATCTTTAATGCTGCTGTCTTTTTGTGCATACGTAGTATTCCTGTGTACATTAAATAAGTTTAGGGCTTTTTTCCAAATCAACCTAAACTATTCCATACCACAGCATGAAAAGTAAGATACATTGACGTTATCAGAATCCCCTACAATTCATACTGTGGAAGAAAATGTCATTAGCATGAACTATTTCATAATAGACCAAATTTAATGCCCTACTGGAATAGCTTCTAAGGATTTCTTACCAGCTTTTATTAACTTATATCCATTAAGAAACGATCATGCTACACTTTTCCATGTTACAAAGCTTGCAGCAGCTGGCAGCAATGAGGAGTTATTCCAGAATATAACTAATATGAAGGGAATGAAAGGAAAGCAGAAACTTGAACATAATTTGCATACAGAAAAGATTTGGCAAACCAAACCCAGATTTATTAGATTTATTTTTTGAGTATGGGGCTGGTTGCTATTATTCTTATTTATTTGTATATTAGCCGCATATAGAAACCTGGATGAGGGCCTTCACCAAAGCCCCCTTGTGGCAGCTCCACACGAGCCATGGAATGTTTCCAGCACTAGATTGGCGAGCAAGTTGGTGGAGAAAAATTCTGCGATCCAGAGGAATGAGGGCATCAGCAATTGCTGGCAGTTATGTTAAGTGAGATACTGCACAGTATTTATCCCATTAACCTCTCTTCCAATTGCCAGAGGAACATCAGAAATAGCTTTACAAGATGTCTAGAGGTGAAAAGAAGCTGTGAATGTTGGTAAGAGAATAGAATCATAGAATAGTTAGGGTTGGAAAGGACCTTAAGATCATCCAGTTCCAACCCTGTTTCTCCAGTTCTAATAGTCATTGCTATAAATGACTACTAGTATTTCTTAAGGTGCAGAAAGGCTTCTCCATCTTCAGTATGTTGTGCTCACGTGGCAAAAGCATACTGAAACTGTGCTAATAAGTGTGAATGGTGATCCATTGACCTCAGTTTTCCATTTCTGGTCATCTGGGTTTTGTGTCCAATGTGGATTCTCTATTTAGACAAGGAAAAATGATTTTTAGGAAATTCTCCCTACCCTTTGGGAAAGTGATTCCTCCATAATTTCTCCATGTCTGTCCAACTGGAATGTTTTGTTTAATGCTTCTTGTTTTTCTTTAATAGAATTTCTGAACAGGTTAATCTATTTTTATAAACATTTTACAGTTTCCTACATACACACGTGAGCAATCAGGGGTTGATCCCAGAGGTCCCCTGTTACTTCTCATTACTTCCTGGCTTTACAAGCTTTCCTGTCTTCTTAGCCTTTTCTCCATGAGCTTGATTCCATGCATCAGTGAGTTTTGACCAAAGATATTGGCCTTTTCCTTACTCACTTCTCCAGTGCGAGGTTGTACAAGAAAGCACTAGCTCCATTCAATACCCTAACTCCTTCCAGGCACCTGGCTACCTTACTGCACCTCTTTAAGACCAGGTCTGCCCAGATCTGTGACAGCACCTAAAGCTAGTGAGCAGGCTGCTTATTTCATAGAATAGTTAGGGCTGGAAAAGACCCTAAGATTATCCAGTTCCAACAAAATCCTTTGCTGTTTCCAGCCTTTTTGCCCCTGCCTTCATTTCCTCTTTTTAATAATTAATTATTCTGCTGAAAACAGCATAAGATACTCTGTAAAATGAAAACCTATTGCCTTGCGTCTGGCATTAGCCTGTCTGCAAATGACAAGGCACCGAGACAGTTTCATGGTAGATATATCTTCCCTCTCATCTTTATCCCCATGGATATGTACTAATCGTCTGGTTGTTGAAGCCCTGACTTTCTGGCTCCCCCAGTATCAACTGACAAAAGACACACATTAGCATTATCCCAGATTGTGTCTGTCACCCAAGGTCACACAAGATAAGCCGCCAGCTGTCCGCTCCACCAAGGCACGGTACATTGGACATTAATTAAACTGTATTCAATATGGTTCAGATCGATTCAGAATGCCAAGATGCCTCGGCTGAGTCGTGCAAAATGTATTAGCACAAATCGCCCTGCCGGTACAAAATGCATTACAGCAGCATCCAAGTATTTTCAGAATCTGAGCCATGAGGTTTAATAAATTAGAGGATAACCAGATAATTGATTTGTGACATATTAGAGAAGGGACCCAAGTGCCTAAAGGGATAGG